TTTTGGCATTTACTATTTTAAAATTCATAAATGGCATTCCCTTTTCATCTTTGTAAAGAGATATTGCACATTTCTTTAACTAAAATATGAATTATGAAGTCAATTTAATTTCAATGAGTTTGAAACTTCATTCTACATAAGAACACTTTACTGGCGTATACTGTTATATTTATTTGCTGCCTTTCTGTTACAAATAATTACCATGTGTCTCAACCCTTTAACTCCCAAAATTTCATGAGTAATCCTCCTTACTTTCTGCCATACAATTTATGTGATGTTAAATTTGAGAATTTGGAATTGGATCAACCAATAATCTTAAAATTGATATTTGTCTTAATTCTCGTTACTTGTCTGCTTTATGTCATACTAATAGTGTAAGGAGAAATTCTCTCTAGGTTAACAGTGGGACTTAACCCTTTAACTCCCAAGATCTCATTATTAATTCTCCTTACTATCTCCTATACAGTTCTTGTGATGTTAGTTTGGAGGATTTAGTATTGGATCATCTGATAATCCCCTTCCTGATATTTTTCTTTATTCTCATCACTTGTCTGCTTGATATTGTTTTGATATTGTAAGGAGAAATTCTTTCTTGGTCACTTATGAGAGTTAAAGGGTTAAAATGGGGTATTTCAACATATTGTAATGATTAAAATATTCCTATGCTTTCAAATGTACCAGTAACAAAAAAAATGTGATGATATTCTGATGATATGAAACACTTGCAATGGAAAAACCTGTTGCTGGTAGCTAATATGTCTTATAGTGCTTAAATTTTCATGGGAAATGCTTTTCTTTGAAAGTGGGGATACAGAAGTTTTTAAGGGTGATAGAAGTAAGCTGTTTGCAAGTAATAAAAGGCAAATTGACAATCATATCTTAATGCTTGACATGCTTCACTCATACATGTCAGTTGTGTGTACCTACCATTGTGGAGGTGTCTTTAAAAAGGTTTTTTTTTTGTTACACAAGACAACCTTCAGGGTGGAAGAGTAGAAGACCACAGAATGATGTTTACTTGGCATTTGTACTTAATGCAATCATATATTCAAGCAGTACTCTACATATATATAGCTGATTACATGATGTCTTTAACCCTTTACACTCTAATATCAGAATGCATATTCTCCAAACTGTTTTCTATATATTTCCTTATGTGCTGGCAAGGAGAATTTGTTTAACAATCAAGAGGTTCTTCAGTTGATTATCATTTCCTTTATTCTCATGACCTTAATGTGTGACTCAGAGGTGATATTGAAAGGAGAAATTAGATGCTAGTCACTCTCAGGGATTAAAGTGTTATTAGCTGTACACATTTTCATGTATATGCTCCTCACATTTGTTGGCAACAATAGCTAAGATTGTTAGGAAAGCAAACAAACAAGTGAACAAAAGACAGTGAAATGAGGGAAACTGTAAACTTAATCATGTGATAGAAAAACATCACAGAATACTTAAAGAGGGGAAACTTGAATTGTGCTAGCTAATTTCCTCTATTGCCATTCATGTTTTTGATTAAATAAAATTTAATCCTTTAACTCCCAGTTCAAATTTGTAATTCTCCATACTGTCAACTATACAATTCTTATAATGTTAGTTCTAAGAATTTAGTATTGGATCAACTAATTATTCTCAAATTTATATATTTTTTTTTTCTCATCACTTATCTTCAAATTTTCAACTTTGTATTAATTGTAGCTGCATGTTTACTATGTCTAAATTCTCTGTACCATAAGCCCTCAAAAGTTGAAGCAGGCAAGTCAATAACCTGACTTCCTTTGTTTGGAATTATATAATTATATGTGTGATTATATAATTTTGCTGTGTTGGTTACCATACTGTAACATGTAATATTATTATTTAGATTGCATTAAATACACTAGCTCAAGCTTTCATTACTGCATCATGGTGTTCTTACCAATGGTCCTACTCAAACTGAACATTGAAATAAGGAATTGGTCACAAGATATATGAGTTTAAAAGGGTGGGAATCTGGAAAAACAAGGATCCTCCTTTAATTAGGACTGAAATTAATGGGGGCCCTCTTATTTTAATTCATGTTTTTAATTTAACCTGCGTCCTTCCCTGTAATGTTCAGGGCACATAAATGAAGATAACATTTTTTTTGTATTTTGCTGCATAAAAGTTAAATTACCATTAATTGGCATCCACACAATCACAAAGCAAGAATGTAAAGCTTTAGTTTAATTGGTTAAAAAATTAAAGTAAGAGAGTTTTGCAGACCGTTTCTGACTTTTTATCCTTACGTAACAAAGACACTATCAGTCTCATTCACTCTCACTTTCCACTGAGCTGGTGGAAAGATGATAACATCATTATTTCTCTAAACGAAGAAAGGAAAGCCTGCCCTCTTACCACAGATAGTTCTGTTGGGCATCATTAGTTCAAGATGATTGTTCCAGTTAGGCTAACCTTAAAATTAGTTGTGAAAATTTCTTGAACCTGTCATTTTACATCTTGAATGTTTGACTCAATTTTACCTCACCAACCTAAACTGAATAAATAGAAACATGAAATTTATTTGTTCTCCTTTTGAGGTGTGCATCAAATTTTCGAATTCATCACAGGCTTAAACTGTAGGTTTACAGGAAATCTGCATGTGCATGTGTTTTCAACATATAAAACTGGGATTATGACTACTTCAAAAGACTTTACTACATGCCATATAGGTACAGGTAGGTGTTGTAAAAAAAGTTTGCTTAGCTTTTTCATTAGTACACATTTCTTTTTCTAAGAAACTTGTTTATCCAGCCTATGCTGAATTCTAATTTTTCAACCAAATTTTATTACTTGTTTAAAATATTATTAGATCTCCTAGTATCAGTTAATATTCTTGTATTTAAAATAATTACATTAAATCTTGCAGATGCATCGCAGATTATTTTTGCTCTGAACCTCCTAACATTTTACCATTTGAAGGGACTGGTATTGGCTATAAAAGTATAGTCAAATTAAAGGTTTTTGCACAACCTATGCATCGAGTTTTTGTTATAAAATATTGTATCCTTCTCAAAACTAGAATAAGAATGAGTTACCAGGAACAAGTATGGCTTTCATGATGATAGTTTCCAGATTTGAAAAAAAGTCACTGCCTACTAAAATCCTCATTTCCTTTGCCTTGATAGCCCAACCTCATCAAAACATTGCCAACAGGAGTGATTAGCAAATTAATTATACAGACAAGAGGGCCTATTCCCACATACATCCTCCTCAATCCTGCTAACTTACTATGGTCATGGCATTTCAAACATGGTGTATATGCCACAAGTTTTCCATTTTCCTGACTAATTACTTTGTAATAGTGTTTATATGTTGAAGAGATTGTTGGGTTGAAATATAATATAAAGACTTGCCAGTAGATAGTTTTATCACAGAGACTTGCCAGTAGATAGTTTTATTACAGTTTTTATTCAGTGTAACGTAGGGCTGGAAAATAAACTAATAAGAGCTCCGCTTTTAGGCTTGGCTTAATCTATATATTAGTATATCATGCCGTAAATTACCTTTCAGTTTTTACGTTTTCAAGTACCGTACCCCAAGAATAAAAGATAATCAATTAGATACAAAGATAAGCGCTTGAGGTCAGTAAATCTCCACCTCCGATCGGATATGTTTATACCTTGAGAACCTAAACCCGCTACATTGCGTGATAAGTCACGCCATGACTGCCAGACAAGTACAGACGATGGCGTCAATGACATGGACCGTGACAATGCACTGCCGTAATCAGACCCCTGTGTGAATTGGACTGTGATAAATGAAGCGAAACAGTTAAAGGTTTAGGTTTTCCTTTTTCGCAATTCTCAAAGCTTCTTTAAGCTTGAAACTGATGAAATTTTGATCATAAACGTTCAAGTTATCGATTTGCAACATGAGTGCATCACTAGACATTGACAAGATCGACGACATCCTGGAGATGGCAAACACAATGGCGACACTAAAAATTTCGTCCAAAGGGCTGAAAACGTTGGACCAAATGAAAGCAAAAGTGAAAGAGACACTCCATTCGTCAGAGAAGAAGTCAAGTTGGACGGCAAAGGAGGTGAGAACCCTGCTATATCTTTTTAAAATATGGACAACCAGCAAACTCAATTTATAAACGACATT